CACTGGATGCCAAAAATCGATTAAAAAAAAAAAAAAAAAAAGACAAATTCCTCAGATTTGACTGCCTAAATCTAGGCCCCAAATTTGAGATGTAGACAATGACCTAAATGGTTTGGTTTTTTTGAAGTACCGAGCACCGTTACCCCTGAAGAACAAGCCACCTTTATTCAGGTAACTCGGGAAAGGTCTGGGTGCCGCTCCTGTTAAAAAGCATCAGCCTCACCCTAGTATGGTTTGCTTCACCAACTCTGCACCCCGGTGCTGCTCAGCATCTCGTGACAGCCTGTCTTCTGCTGCCAAACCAGGTGCTGTTATTCCACGACCAGAATTACGGAATTCATTATGAGTACACCATCCCTGTCAACTACACCGCCGAAAACGGGAGCGAGCCCGAAAAGCAGCCGGATTCATTGTACATCTGGACGCACAGCGGCTGGGAAGGATGCAGCGTGCAGTGTGGCGGAGGTAAGGCCGTGCGGGAGCAGGGGGTCAGCATTTTGTGTGGGGTTTGCACAGACAGGCAGGAAAGAAGCCAGCGCTGCCAGAGCCCGGGAGGCAAATGAAAACAGCCATGACCGTGGGGTCAAATCAAAGCTCGTTTTCACTGCATCTATCAGCTTCTCGTTTGCATCCCAACTGCTGATTTGCGCCCGGGCTTTTGGCAGGGCCACTGCTCTGTTGGCTCGTTCCCGCATGACGGAGCTGCACCTGGATGAGCGCTTCGCTGACGGCTCGCGGCACCGTGTGCAGCCCCGTGTCTCCAGGCCCTGTCAGATTCTTGGAGCAGAGTTTTCACAGGTGTGCCTGGATGTTGGCCGAGAGAAGCTTCCTTCCCCGAGGACAAAGGGGAGGGGGGCTGTCAGTTATGACAACTCGCTGCAGATTGCATGAGCAACAGTTCACGGAGGGTGAGCTTTCTGGGTGCATGTTAGCACTCTGCAGATTGTTCTTCTCAGTGGGCCTGTCCCAGACAACAGGATGCCCGGAGGTAGTTTCACCTGCTGTCGGCCAGAAGCAGGCAGCGAGGAACGCTACAGCTGCTGCCATCCATTAGGTTCCCGCAAGCAGGAGAGGCAGCTTTAAGTCTGTCCTGGAAACTAAATCTCTCCCCACAGCCCCTTCACAACCACCACTGCACGGCACTAACCCCATCAACCCATGGAGCTAAAGCGTGTTCAGCCTGTCCTGTGACAGGTTTGCCAGCATCACTGTGTGAAACCCTTCGTTTTATTTTCTTTCTAGAAAGCACTGATTTAAAATCTGACCTCTTTAATTTCCTCTGAAAATCCCAGTTTCATCCAACCATTGAGTCCTCACGAGAGCAAACTCGAAACCTCTTTGCAGTGTCTTATGTATAATAGCCCAGCCACATGGGGAGGGCCACTAATGTCATTCTCTGGCAGCAAGCCTCCCACCAGCAGTTGTCTTGGATACATCTGCTGTGCTTAAGCGCTTTGGTTTTCAGGCACATTTCACCACTTCCATCTGGGACTCTCAGACTGTACGAACTCACGTACAATTCTGAACCAGTTGCACTTTCAATCATCAGGAGCATATATTAAGTCTTTACATTAAGCTGGATTCTCCACTGATAGATCTTAATGGATTTCTTTTTCCTGTTGGTCGCAAATCACAGGAGCTCTGTTTGTGCAGTGCAACTTCAGGTTATGGTGGCAGAAGCCCATTCGAAATGCACAGTATTATAAAGTTCAAGTGACATGGTGCACCGGTGGCGTTTTCCTCCAAGAACTTCTATCTTGATTTGTCTTTTCCCAACACAGTGTTTTCACATGTTAGTAAAATGTTGAACCCAAGAGCCACATTGTGGTTGCCTCAGTGGCACTATGGCCCCTTTATCAGTTGATGTGTAGACAAAACTTACCTGGAAATAGTAGAACTGCTCTTGAACCTGGTGTCTCCAGTCAAGTCGTTTTGAAGGTAGTGCTCAAGGCTTGGAAATGATTGATATTTTGTCTGCTTATTTTGCTGCTAGTAAAATCCGCCTTAAGCCCAGTTTTTTTAAATCGGTCACTCCTTTAAAGACTTTTCCTTCACTTCATTAAATAAGTTGGATGCCAGTCAGTGTAAAGGAGGAGAAAACACAGAAGCCCAGCTGTTCAGCAGGAAGCTCAGGTGGAGGGCTGCGTCAGAGGTCGTTATTAGCCATTTGCTGTTTATTCCTATATTAGGTGATGTGGGAGTCATGGCGGCATGTATAGTAGGAACCCAGATCCAACCAGATTGCTTTCAAGATTGCATTGACTTTAAGACTTGGAAGATATTGCTCAGCCTGCTAACACTGCCAGAGCATGATCATTGCAGAAAGAGATGCAGTTTTCCTGGTAAGACAGTGGAGTTTAGAGAGAGGGCAGAGAAGACGGGGAACAAATCGCCTGCAGACATGAGCTCTACAAGTGATATGTCATGGTGGGCAGAGAGAACTCTGCTTTGGAGGCTCTTTCAGTCGCATGATCTTAAATAGTTTGCAGCCCCAGACAATTAACTAGCTTCTTGATTTCTAGTTCTTTGATTTGGCTTCACTTTCAGGTGAGCGGAAAACCATCGTGTCCTGCACAAGAATTGTTAACAAGACCATGACACTGGTGAATGACAGCGAGTGCCAGCGTGCAACTCGCCCGGAGCCCCAGATCAGGAAGTGTAACACGCACCCCTGCCAGTCACGGTAAGAAGCTACAAAAAAAAAATAATCGACTTCTCTGTCTCTCCCAGTTGCCCACCTCCAAAGCATCACCCTGCAGGACATCATGGAGGTGTCTGGAGGGATTGGGGCCCACTGCTTGCTGCATTGTCTGGCTGTGATACTCCAGCTCCATTTGCAGAGCACATCAGACGTTCGTTGCCTCTGTGCCCATTTCATTTGCAGCCATTAAGTCAAGATTCCACTTGCACATGCAAACCGCTTGGGAAACTTGCCCACCCTTGGCTGAAAGTGCTGAAGAGCCAAAACACTAGTTGTATGAAGCCTGCCAAGGTCTGAGTCTCACCTTGTTTCCATAGTCAGCACAGTGCAGGGCCTGGTTAACTCTCACATCCCGCTGCGGAGGAAGGACCTAAGCCCTTCAACCTAATCTGGTCCACGACTATAGTCCATGTCTGATCTGTATCAGCTGACTAATTTAGATTATGAGCATTTGACTGGGACATTATCCTTCTCTGGGTATCACACGGCTCTGTGCTCAGAGCCCAGTTCAGGAAGGCACTGAAGGGTATCTCTAGTATCTTTATACTGGTGCATAGACTCATAGAAAATGAGGGTTGGAAGGGACCTCGGGAGGTCACATCTAGTCCAACCCCCTGCTCAAAGCAGGAGCAGCCCCAACTAACTCATCCCAGCCAAAGCATTTTCTAGCCGGGTCTTGAAAACCTCCAAGGATAGAGACTCCACCACTTCTCTGGGTAACCTGTTCCAGTGTTTTACTACCCTCCTCATGAGAAAATTGTTCTGAATATCTAAACTAAACTTCCCTTGCTGCAACTTGAGCCCATTGCTCCTTGTTCTGTCATCTGCCACCACTGAAAACAGTCCAGCTCCATCCTCTTTTGCAACCCCCCTTCAGGCAGTTGAAGGCTGCTGTTTCATAGATTTCATAGACATTAGGGCTGGAAGGGACCTCGGAAGATCTTTGAGTCCAGCCCATACCCCTTGCCACCACCCAGAACAGTCCAGCTCCATCTTCTTCGAACCCCGCTTCAGGTAGTTGAAGGCTGCTGTTGAATCCCCAGTTCCCTCAGCCTGTCCTCATCAGTCATGTGCCCCAGGCCCCCAGCCATTTTTGTTGCCCTCCCCTGGACTCTCTCCAATTTGTCCACGTCCTTTCTGTAGTGGGGGGGCGAGGGGGAGCAAAACCGGACACAGGACTCCACATGTGACCTCACCAGTGCTGAATAGAGGGGAATAATCACTTCTCTTGAGCTACTGGCAACCTACCTACCAGTGCAGCCCAGGATGCCATTAGCCTTTTTGGCAACAAGGGCACACTGCTGGCTCATATTCAGCGTACTGTCCACTGTCACCCCCAGGTCCTTTTCTGCAGAGCTGCTGCCCAGCCCGTCGGCCCCCCGCCTGCACCGGTGCATGGGATTGCTCTGTCCTAAGTGCGGGACTTTGCACTTGTCCTTGTTGAACCTCATGAGATTTCTTTTGGCCCAATCCTCCAATTTGTCTAGGTCACTCTGAATCCTAACCCTACCCTCTAATGTAGCTATTACTCCCTGCATCTTGGTGTCATCTGCAGACTTGCTGCGGGTGCACTCTATGCCATCTTCCAGGTCGTTGATGAAGACTTTAAACAAAACTGGCCCCAAGACCGACCCCTGGGGCACTCCTTTTGATACCAGCTGCCAACTAGACATTGAGCCACTGATCACTACCCTCTGAGCCCGATGCTTCAGCCAGTTTTCTATCCACGTTACAGTCCATTCTGCCAGCCCGTACTTCCTTAGCTTGCCTGCAAGGATGTTGTGGGAGACCATATCAAAAGCCTTGCTAAAATCCAGGTACAGGCACCTGAGCTAACTAGTTGATTGCCCTGATTTCTCAGGAAGTATGAGACCACCTCCCCTGTTGCCCCTTCCTGCTTGCTCTTTCTCCAGGTGTTCTGCTTCCTGACTTGCCTCAGGGCTTTGGTCTCCATCCCCCTAGGGAACCTAGTTTTAAAGCCCTCCTCACTAGGTTGGCAAGCCTGTCTGAGTGCAGTACCCAAGGTAAAGCTGCCTCCCTGGCTCTAGAAGCAGAGGCAGTACAGCCATGGTCATGCAGCACAGCACAGGGTGGGGTTGATGAGCCATGCTGCTAAGAGCCTGCCTCCTGCCTGAATTGCACTGAAGCCAGTGAAACTTAAGCAGGTGGTTGGAGGAAAGCACACACTTACATGCTTGCTGCAGACAGATTCAGGGCTCAGTAAGTACTGCAATAAAAGCCCTCTGCTTCATCTGCATGAAAAGTGATACAAATCAACCTTATTAAACCAAGTTGGTGATGAAATCATAAATTCACCTACAAACCTCTTCCTGGGAGCAATTCCTCATGTTATTTTTCCTTTCCCCTCTTGACTGTGTGAAGTCTCATGTAATTGATTTGAACACTTCCATTTTTGATAGTGATAAAGGCCCCTGGTTCATGTAGATAGCTCTGTAGCTATTGACTATAGTTCTGTAGTCAATATACAATAACAGTCTGCAATATTGACAGTCCGATAGTGCAGTCAGAGCAGCACAGTTCCTGCTGCATCTAGCCTGGTAATAGAGGACACAGAAATGTTCCTTTCAAGCTTCTCTTACTAGGACATATGACAAGTGAGAAGAAACAGAAAAGCCGTGTTAAAATTGGAGTGATGTTCTGATTTAGTCCAGTAGACCAAGGCAATGCCATGTAACGTCATGGTGAGCCTTTGTTCTTAATGACCCAGAACAAAAGTGATTTTCCTCTCTGTTCAACACAGTGCTGTGTGCATAAGCACAGTATCTCATAGCCTCTGTGAGGTGCTTGACCTTGCATGGCACAAAGACAGAGCATTGTGGCTCTAAGAGCAAGTGCAAAAATGAACAGGGGCTCTAGATCCTGTTCTGTTTGAGCGCAGCTGCCAGCTCATTCCTGATCAGTAGAGCTTGAAGGCTTGAGAAGAACTTCATAGCCCCAGAGCGTGAAGGCTGCAGATCATGGCTTTGCCCTGGCCCCGACCAAGCTGCCCCCATGGCAAGATCTCAGTGGCCCTGGAGCAGCCCCCTGCCCTGCCCTGCCACACGCCCTGCCAGCACGGCTGGGGCCGGTCTCCATGGCAACCCCAGCCTTGCACTATCACTGCTTCTGGGATCTCCATGGAGACCAGCCCCAGCCATAAGGGCAGGGGCTGCTGGGAAATGGAGTCCATTGCTGGCTGGATCCGGCCCACAATCCAGACTTTGCCCACCCCTGGTCTAGATCCATCCTCTTTCGAACCCCCCTTCAGGTTCAAAATCTTCATAGCAAAGAGCAGTCGTTGATATCAAGCAAGTCACATCTAAAGCTTCTGAGCTCCTTCTGCTCAGGTGGGCCCTCTCTCCTTCCACAGTTTGCTCCTTTTCAATCTCTGCTCTTTGAAAGAGTGTGGCATGCAGTGGACTCAGGTTCTGCTCCCCCAGAAGCTGACATCCCATCTTTCATAGGACCATAAAATCATAGACAATTAGGATCAGGAAGTCATCTTGTCCAACCCACTGCTTAAAGCAGGACCATCCCTAACTACATCATCCCAGCCAAGGCTTTGTCCAGCCAGGTCTTAAAAACCTTCAAGGATGGAGACTCCACCACCTCTCTGGGTAACCTGTTCCAGTGTTTACTACCTTCCTAGCGAGAGAGTTTTTCCTAATATCCAACCTAAACTTCCCTTGCTTTGGCCCCTTGACTTTGGCCCCTGTTTAGCCTCTGTTCATGCTTGGGCTATCAGAAAGCACAAAGACCTCATATTCTTTTCTGTCCTGTACCTAGGCTCAGAGCTCAGCAGCAAGTGATCCTGCCTCCCAAAAGGTACCGTGGTGCTGGCTCCAGACCTATCCAGTTCACACTGTCCTTCACACTTTGCTGACTTCACCAGCTTGCACCCGTAACTCTGTAACTTGATTCTAGTATCTGGGGCAGGCCCCTACTTCAGAAAAGCCTTTGTTTCCTTCCCTACAGCCTACTGGTTTTGCACAGCCCTCCAGAGTGGGTCTCTCCACCAATGAAGCTTCAAAATAGCTGAGCCATCTGCCATCTCTCTCTGTATTATAGACCAGAAGCCACTGGATAGTGCAAATGTCATCACTATTCTCCCATGGTGCCATGTGTCCATGTGAGCCAGGCTCTGTCAGATTAAAACCTAACATGCTTTTTTTCCATGCGATATGTGGCTGTTGTACAACACTGTGGACGCACTGCTATTGAGGTCCCAGCACAGCTATCAGAAGCAGCAGTTCCTAGGAGGTGATGAAAAGCATTATGGGATACTTTGCATATCCATAGGAACTGCGAAAGTTGGAGTCCCCAGTAATTTCCATGGGGAGGTTTCATAAAGAACATGGTGCCAGCACCATTTTCAAGCCATTGCCTCAGGTGGGAGCAAGGGAAAGCACATGCTCCTTGCTCAGCCCAAAACATGGCCATAGGGTCATCTGAATAGCCTGAAAGTGGAAACTGGTGGGAAAGCAGACAGGACAAGGGGTCTCCAGGGGCATCTCTGGGGAAATGGAGCAGGTCACTGTGCTCAGCCTGTGGTGGTCGGATATTCACTCCCAGTAGGCCAGTGCATTGTTGGGAAGACTTTAGCATGAACCTAAAGGTTGTCAGAGCTCCAAGAGCCATGGCACGTCCCTCTAGTGAGATGCAGCGATTGTGGGTGAAGGGACTGTGCTGTTCTCCACCTTCTCTACAACCCCTCGTGCATTCCCTGCTCTGAACAGCGAGCAGTGACCGTGAGCCGAGTTAAGGATGGAGTTAAATCACATGCACAAACACGCATCCCAGACCTGCTAATATTACCTTCACATGTCCAAATTGCCTTGCTTTTTATGGACTCCCGTCTCAGCCTTAGTGTTATTCCAAGATAGCTGTTTTTCTGTTCGGAGTTATCAGGCAAAGTTATTGGCATAATTAAGCCCAATTATCCTCAAAAGCAGCTTAGTAACACAGTGATGCTCTTACCAGTC